TTGAGATGTCAACATGAAATGTCATAGGTGGATAGATTTTATTGAGGAGGAATGCTGTGCACAAGAATGATAACTCTTCCCTGTACATTTTTTGAATTATTGCCCTTTGTTCTTTTTCATACTATTTTGTCTGGAATTTATCTCAAAAAGTATTTGAGGTATCAACTTGAAACTTCATAGGTGGATGGATCTCATTGAGGAAGAGTGCAGTGCACAAGAATGATAACTCTACCCTGCATAATTGTTTAGTTATTGCCCTTTTTTTATTTTTCAAAATTAATTTTTGTCCAGAGCATAACTCAAAAGGCCTTTGAGATATCATTATGAAACTTCATAGGTGCATAGATCTAACTCAGGAGGTGTGCAGTGCACAAGAATGATAACTCTACCTTTTATAATTTTTGAGTTATTGCCCTTTGTTATTTTTCATACTTAATTTTTCAATTCAATTTTTTTCTCAAAAAGTATTTGAGGTATCAACTTGAAACTTCATAGGTGGATAGATTTTATTGAGGAGGGATGCAGCACACAAGAATGATAATCTACCCTGCATTATTTTTCAGTTATTGCCCTTTGTTATTTTCAGCCATCAGTATTCACATAGGTTTCAAATCTGTAATCACTATAGCCATCAGTTTTCATTACCAAAAGACCTCTTAAAATGGAATTATTCTGCTCTACTACATATACATTCTTCCAATGAGCAAACACATTCGGCGGGGGATGGCCATGTTGACATGGCTCTTGTTTATTTCATTTTATTCATTCATTCCATAATGCTTTTATGTGGCTATTTTCTTTTGTGAGGGTAAAAAGAACAAAAGAGAGAACAATACAGTAGCCACATTATTACACTCCTGTTAGAACGGATGTCTGTCAGTCCGTCAGTCCACAAAACTGGATCCCGCGATAACTTAAAAAAGTTCTGAAAATATTTTTATGAAACTATCTGATATATGGATAGATGGCAGTATGTAGATTATGCATGTCTTTTATTTTCTTCCTATGTTGAGAATTCTGGTTGCTATGGCAACAAATAGACTGAAAATATGGCAAATTTAACACATAAACTGGATCCAGTGATAATGTAAAAAGTACTGAACATATTTTTATGAAACTTGAAATGTGGGTAGATGGCAGTCTGGAGATTATGCACATCTTTTTCTTTTCTTCCTATGTTGAAAATTCTGGTTGCTATGGCAACAAATAGTCTGAAAATATGGCAAATTTAACACATAAACTGGATCCAGTGATAACTCAAAAAGTACTGAACATATTTTTATGAAACTTGAAATATGGGTAGATGGCAGTCTGGAGATTATGCACATCTTTTTCTTTTCTTCCTATGTTGAAAATTCTGGTTGCTATGGCAACAAATAGCCTGAATTTCAAGATTTCTGATTTAAATTTTTCAGCTTTTTCACTATAAGTTCTTTATTTCTTAAGGTGTTTACTTCAAACTTTAAATATAAGTTTCTGGTCATCAACCACATCATATGTGACAAGGTTTACAACTCTAGCACAAAAATTATCAGTATTACCTCCCTTGAACTTAGAATTTTTATGAAAAAAATGTTGTCTTTTTTAAATAATTTCCTAATGTATCTACTTCAAACTTCATATATATGTTTCTTATTATCACTCAACATTTTTGAGAAGGTTAAATACTCTAGCAAGACTATTTCCAGAATTATGTCCCCTTTGAACTTAGATTTTTTTTGAGAAATTGGTATTTTTTACTCCAACTTCTTCATTCCTTATAGGATTTACGGTACTTAAAATCCCACACCGTAATAATATGACAAGGTTGTATAAACATAATTTCCTTACAAGGCAGGGAAACTTAACACATTACTGTGATATAGACAAACTTAGAACTCAAAAGATTTAAGTTCATTCATGTCATTCATTCACTGGTAAAATTGAATGGCCAAATTGGCCCATCAGAATGTTGCTGGGGTTCTAACCGGTAGGGGACTTATGGATTGCTTGCAATACTATGATAATTGCTTGTTTACATAATTATGCCCCTTTTTCGACGGTTAAGTTTTTGCGTGCAAGCTGGTATCTCCATAACTACTGAAGGGAATGGTGTGAAACTTCAAACACTTGTTCTCTGTGATTATCTTACATGATTGGCAAAAGTCCAATAACTCTGATTTGCTTTTTTGCATAATTATGCCCCTTTTTCGACTTAGAAATTCTTGGTTAAGTTTTTGCGTGCAAGCTGGTATCTCCATAACTACTAAATGGGAATGGATTGAAACTTCACACACTTGTTTTCTGTGATTATCTTACATGATTAGCGCAAGTCCAATAACAATGATTTGCTTTTTTACATAATTATGCCCCTTTTTCGACTAAGAAATTCTTGGTTAAGTTTTTGCGTGCAAGCTGGTATCTCCATAACTACGAAAGGGAATGGATTGAAACTTCACACACTTGTTCTCTGTGATTATCTAACATGATTGGCACAAGTCCAATAACTCTGATTTGCTTTCTTACATAATTATGCCCCTTTTTCGACTTAGAAATTCTTGGTTAAGATTTTGCGTGCAAGCCAGTATCTCCATAACTACGGAAGGGAATGGATTGAAACTTCACACGCTTGTTCTCTGTGATTATCTTACATGATTTGAATAAGACCCATAACTCTGGCTTTTTTGCATAATTATGCCCTTTTTTCGACTTAGAAATTCTTGGTTAAGTTTTTGCTTGCAAGCTGGTATCTCCATAACTACTGAAGGGAATGGCTTGAAACTTCACACACTTGTTCTCAGTGATTATCTTACATGATTGACACAAGTCCAATAACTCTGATGTGCTTTTTTGCATAATTATGCCCCTTTTTCTACTTAGAAATTCTTGGTTAAGCAAATATCTCCATAACTACTGAAGGGTTTGTGTCTTTTTTGGAACAATTTTATGCATTCATAATAATAAAGCAGTAATTAACTGAATAAAACTTCTTAATAACAAGCCTTTGTACCTTTTCGGACAATTTTATGTATTCATATAGGTAAGCATTATTATACTCAATGAAACTGACAACTTTTCGAATAGTCGAGCGTTACTGTCCTCCGACATTTCCTTGGGTTTAGCTCACCTGAGCATATGCTCAGGGTGAGCTATTAGGATCACTCTTCGTCCGTCGTCTGTCGTACGTCGTCCGTTGTCTGTTCACACTTTTCAAACGACATCTCCTCTGAAACCATAAGGCAGATCATAATGAAACTTCACAGGGATGTTCCTTGTGTGAAGCCTTAACAAAGTTGTTCAAAGAATTCCATTCCATGCAGAACTCTGGTTGCCATGGCAACCAAAAGAAAAAACTTTAAACATCTTCTTCTAAAAAACCCAAAGAGCTAGATCTTAGATATTTGGCATGAAACATCTTCTAGTGAGTGTCTACCAGGTTTGTACAAATAAATGCCCTGCGGTCAAAATTGGCCCCGCCCCAGGGGGTCATTGATTTTCCCTATATGCATATAGTAAAAACTTTAAAAAATCTTCTTTTGAAGAACCCAAAGAGTTAGAGTTAAGATATTTAGCATGAAACATCTTCTAATTGGTGTCTTCCAAGTTTGTTCAAATAAAAGCCCTGGGGTCAAAATTGGCCCCGCCACAGGGGGTCATTGATTTTCCCTATATGCATATAGTAAAAACTTAAAAAATCTACTTTTAAAGAACCCATAGAGCTAGAGCTAAGATATTTAGCATGAAACATGTTCTAATGGATGTCTACCAAGTTTGTTCAAATAAGAGCCCTGGGGTCAAAATTGGTCCAGCCCCGGGGGTCATTCCTTTTCCTTATATGTGTTATACAAAACTTTAAAAAATCTTCTTTGAAAAAACTCAAATAGCTAGAGTTTAGATATTAAGCACGAAGCATCTTTTAGTGAGTGTCTACAAAGTTTGTTCAAATAAAAGCCCTGGGGTCAAAATTGGCCCCGCCCCGGCTGACATTGATTTTCCTTATATGTGTATAGCAAAAACTTAAAAGTCTTCTTTGAAAAAAACCGAATAGCTAGAGTTTAGATATTAAGCACGAAACATTTTCTAGTAAGTGTCTACAAAGATTATTCAAATAAAAGCCCTTGGGTCAAAACTGGCCCTGCCCCAGGTGTGTCATTGTTTTTAACTATATGTGTAAAGAAAAAAACTTGACCTGAGCTAGACCTTAGATGTTAAGTATGAAATATCTTCTAATGTGTGTCTACCAAGTTTGTTCAAATAAAAGCCCTGGGGTTTAAACTGGCCCCGCTCCGGGGGCCTATATACAGGTGAGCGACTTCAGGGCCATCATGGCCCTCTTGTTTTAATTTTCATCTTTGTTTCTATACATGTTAATGATATATTTGAAAAGTGTTATTTTTTTACTTTTCTTCTTTGTGACTATAAATGGTATCATCATGTATGACAATGTTCATAAATCTAGCATCTTTATTTCAGGAGTTATCTCCTCTGTTATATTTTGGTAACAGGGATATTTAAAAAATAACTTTAGAGTCTCCTTCAGTCTGTCTGTCTGTTCATAAAAACTGTTTCCTGAGATCTCTTTTAAAGATGTTTTCCAACAAATTTACTTAAAATAGAGAAAAGTTGAAACATTTATTATACTTATTCATCTGAGAAAATTGGACCTTTTGATTATCTGTTGTATAAACATAATTTCCTTACTTGGCAGGGAAACTAACACACAAACTTAGAACTCAAAAGATCTAAGTTTGTTCATGTCATTCATTCATTCAATGGTATAATTGAATGGCCAATGGCCCATCAGAATGTTGCTAGGGTTCTAACCGGTAGGGGACCTTATGGATTGCTTGCAATTCTATGATAATTGCTTTTTTCTTTAGACACTTCTTGTCCAATGTCCATGATAACTTCTTGTAAATATGCTATCAGGTGTATATTGTCCTGTCTCAGGGAAGGTCTTGTTTATCATATTTCCAGATTTAAACTCACTTTTCACAAAAATTGCCATTTTTACCTTTCAGACTTTACAGCAGATAAATTTTGGAGGGGTTGGGATGTGATCAGATGTAGCTCGATGTGACACAAGAGTCTGCTACTACGATGCACGCTGTCTTGTTGTATATTATTATGTCTTGTCCTGGACATGGAGTGATTTGGCTGGCCAAAATTGACATTACAAATTTTTAACCATGGGAGAGAGTGTGAATATTTGATTATTCAGGACATGATGAGGATTTTATCTCAAAATAGAGATTATTTTAGTGTGAAAGAAATTTCATTGAGATACTTGTACAATATGATCATATTGTCTCCTTTGAAATTGTCAAACTTTTTTTATCTCTTTATATGTATAATATTATATATACATGTTTATAGATATGCTAATAAACTCCTGTAAACTTGATTATAAAACTTTAAAAAAATGGATTATGTTGCTACATTGTTGTAATTTTAAATGAAGTATAAGGGTGGGGGCTGGGGCTATATAGGAGTCAGCTGGTCGGTCGGTCAGTCCATCCACATCATGGTTTCCAAACCATAACTAGAATATTTCACTCAAACTTGGTGTATAGCAAGCTTATATGAAGACCCCTGTTGGTATTGCATTTGGGCCCCCTGGGGTCAAGGTTATCATTACTAAAAATAGAAAAATGGTTTCCGGACAATAACTAAAGTTAGGAATGAGATATCGTAATCAAACTTGCTGCATAGCAAGCTCATATGAAGACCCCGGTTGGTATTGCATTTGAACCCCCTTGGGTCAAGGTCACTAAAAGTATAAAAGTGGTTTCCATACAATAACTAGAGTAAGGATTAAGATATTGTAATCAAACTTGGTGTATAGCAAGCTTATAAGAAGATCTCGGTTGGGATTGCAATTAATTGAAATAATTCTTTGTACACAGTTGATACTTGATTTACTATAGGTTGTGTTCAAAGTTAATTTATAGAAGACTATAGAGAAGAGACTAAGAGTGAAAGTGTAGTTTTTGATAATTTTATTGTTTTGTATCAACAAACTGGAGCACATATATTTTATATCACCAAAAAAAAAAACAAGATTGCATTTGTGAAAAATGCTATGCCACCGCATTAATACAACACTAACTAGTAATATAGGAACGGATTTTTATGCCACCGCAGCATCTGCGATACGGTGGCATATAGCGATTCACCTGTGTGTTTGTTTGTGTGTGTGTGTGTTGGTGTGTTTTGTGTGTGTGTTCTATAGATTATATAGTGAACTTAAAAAATCTTCTTGTGAAAAACAACTAGTCCAATTTCAACCAAACTTGGCAGGATTGATCCTTGGGTGAAGGGCTTCCAAGTTGTTCAAAAAATTTCATTCCATGCAGAAATCTGGTTGCCATGGCAACCAAAAGGAATTATAAGAATAAATTTAAAAAAACTTCTTGTAAAAACCCAAAAGGCCTAGAGCTTAGATATTTTGCATAAGGAATTGTCTGTTGTTCAAATTATAGCCCTGGGGTCAAAATCGGCCCCGCCCCGGGGATCATTGATTTTCACTTTATGTACATATAGTAAAAACTTAAAATACCTTCTTGTAAAGACCCAAAGGCCTAGAGCTTAGATATTTTGCATAAGGCATTGTCTGATAAACCCTTACCAAGATTGTTCAAATTATAGCCCTGGGGTCAAAATCAGCCCTGCCGTGGAGGTCATTGGTTTTCCTTATATGCATAAAGAAAAACTTGAAAATTCTTTTTCTCTGAATTGACAAAGGCTGGCATGAGACTTTGCGAAGTGAATCTCTACCAAGATTGTTCAAATTATAGCCTTGGGGTCAAAATTGGTTCCGCCCGGGGGGTCATTGATTTTCATTTTGTACATATAGTAAAAAAAATTTAAAATTTTTTTGTCTGAAGGTACAAGGCAGAGCTTTGATGTTTGTTATATAATATCATCTATAGGTCCTCTACCAAAGTTGTTCAAATTTTTCCCCTGGTGTCAAAATTGGCCCTGCCCGGGGGCAGTGATTCTCATTATGTAAACATAGTAAAAACAGAAAATAAAACAAATGTTTTCTGAATGGGAGAAAGCTACAGCTTAGATATTTGACTTGAAATGTTGTGTGGTGGACCTGTATCAAGATTGCTTTGAATTAAACCCTTGGGTCAAAATTTTGCCTTGCCCGAGGGGACAGTGACCTTCTTTCTTGTCCCTTGATGTACAGCTATGAAATTTGAACCATGTGCACAGATTAAGATGTAAAGTGAACAGTGTCTTACTGTGTTGTCCTTTGATGTAGGCATGAAATTTAGGTTGTGTGAAATATGACCTTCACCACCAAATTCACTAGACTCAAGTGCATTGATATATTCCTACTCTGATCTTTACTATATACATATAAGGAAAACATGTGACCCACGGGGCCGGGCTGATTTTGATACTAGAGGCAAAATTTGAACAACTTTGGTAGATTACCTTTAGATAATAACACATACCAAGTATCAATCCTCTAAGCCTCGTACCTTCAGACAAGAAGGTATTTTAAGTTTTTACTATATGTACATATAGTGAAAATCAATGACCCCTGGGGCGGTGCCGATTTTGACCACAGGGCTATAATTTGAACATTCTTGGTAGAGGTCTACCAGACAATGCCTTATGCAAAATATCTAAGCTCTAGGCCTTTTGGGTCTTTACAAGAATATTTTTTTAATTTATTCTTATAATTCCTTTTGGCCATGGCAACCAGATTTCTGCATGGAATGAAATTCTTTGAACAACTTAGGAAGCCTTTTACCCAAGGATCAATCCTGCCAAGTTTGGTTGAAATTGGACTAGTGGTTTTTAACAAGAGGATTTTTTAAGTTCACTATATAATATATAGAACACACACACACACACACACACACACACACACACACACAGATGTGAATCGGTATATGCCATCGCAGATGCTGTGGTGGCATAAAAAAATAACTGACAGCAACTTGAAGCTCTGATGCCAGTGGACAATGCGTAAAATTTATTTGTTCACCATCTGCAACAGCGCAAATAAATCTGTACTATACGATGCTATTTAACCCCGTATGAGGCCTCTCGCTTCTACTGGAAAACAAGCTTAGCGATTGGTTGTATCAAGGTAACCAAACGGTGCCTAAGTAAATAATGTGCAGCATCATATATTAAGTGATTTGTTGTAAATTGTGGATTAATTTTTCGCTAGGTCTGAAAATAATCTGAAAAGCATACATCAAAAGTGCAGAGAGACAACGAATATGACCGCAAACGCATTCGTGTGTTTAAAGATATTTTACTTCGCTCCGAAAACAAACTTTGTCATGTTGCAAACTGTTGATACCATAGGCACTTGGTTTCGGGATAAAATAACCATTTGAGAGGTTTGTAGAACTCAAATATAATTGAATGTTACAATTTTTTTTAACGTAGATGTCTCTTTTCTAAAACCGTCATTTTCCCGATATTACTAAAAAAACAGTAATATCGGGAAAATGACGGTTTTAGAAAAGAGACGTCTACGTTAAAAAAATTGTAACATTCAATTATATTTGAGTTCTACAAACCTCTCAAATGGTTATCTTATGCCTATGGTTGATACGCCTTTGGCCCTTTATGTAGGGAAATCATTAATAAGAAAGGACACTCTTACATCACATCAAATGTTGTTCAAACGTGTCTCTTAATACGAGTTTTAGCAAAATCCCAGTAAGCAAGGACCCATTAGTTAAATAAGGCCATTGTAATAAACTTTTTTTACTGTTTATTTGGGCAAGTGAACTTCAGCTGCGGACAAGTAGAAATTTTTGTCCAACTTTTACGTGGGCAAGTGGAAAAATCCAAAATTCCACACCCCTGAATGATAGATCTAGTTATAGCTGTGTGTTATAATTATGCTACCCGAAGGGTGAGCATAAAGTCGCCGCTTTGTTTGCCCGTCCGGTTGTTCGTCCGTCTGTCCGCACTACCGAATAGGGAGAGGGGGCCATCTAACTGTAAACAGAACAAATAAAACAATAGAATAAATTCAGTAACAAATGAATAAGGGGCCATGGCCCTCTTTAATACAAAAGAAAATAATAGAAATGACCCTTTATCCCTATTCGGTCGGACATCTGCCCGTTTTTCTTGTCTGGGACATAATTCTGTAACAACAAGATTTATTAACATGAAACTTTGTAGGTAGATAGATCACATTGAGTAGATGTACAGTGCATAAGAACCATAACTAGGCCTTGCCTAATTTTGGAGTTATTGCCCTTTGTTCATTTTTACACTTTGAACATTGTCCAGGGCAGCGTTTTACTAACGTACTTTCGCCTAAGATTTGCGTAAGTTATAACTTGCGTCTAATTTCTTACGTAAAAAACGTTTTACTAAAAATTTGCTTAAGTAAGAATTTCGTAAGTTTTTACGTATAGTTACGCTTAAAATTTGTTGACTTAAAACTTACGTAAGTAAGACTGACATCATCTATGAATAATGGCAGAACAGCAAAGCGAGAATTTTAGAGACGGATATGACTGGTGGTGAAAGCGGCTCTAGAAAAGTAAAGTCTAAGTAAGGAAAGGATAATGTGGCTTTACGGACTTATTAAAAATTAAATTTAGTAAAAAAAAATATACGAATATGGAAGTCGTCCTATCAGCTTAAAGACGAAAGTCTTTTAATTATTAGTTTCTCCAAAAATATACTGGCATCACATTCCGCCTTTAGTCGTGATTGACCTGGACCCTGCGGTCTCAGCAGGGTATTGGTACGCGTTTAACTTTTGAGGCATGGAGGAGCACGTGACCTGTTTTCGGTACATGGAGGAGCATGTGATCTGTAAACCTGACATGATTGGTTAATTGACCTTTCGAAAACCTAGCTAAATACCGTTTGCGGGTATGTTACGGATTTACCTCTAGGGAATTAGTCCGAATTACACTTAACAAAAAGCTATAACGTGATATTTCTAATTTTCTATAATTATTTTACCGTTTAAGGTGGAAAAACTTGAATGATGTGTTTGAAATTTTCAATGATTCTTTAGAATCTATCTCAAATTTTATAAACAATAAATTGTTTATACTGAAAATCTACAAGATTAAAATATACGTAGTGGCATCTGCCATAATAAATAGAAATATTTTCTGCGTAAACTTTGTGTTTTTTGGGGTTTTTTTTGCAAGAAATTATTCATAAAATGGTAGTCCTATTTAATAATTTTCTTAAACAGAAATAATTGTTTTATGTTCAACCTTCTCCGGTATTCAACGGTCACCAGTTTTCAAAGACCTACTTCTATATTGATCGTTTATTGTCAACTATATTCCTGATACAAACGTTTATTTATCTCCAAAACAATGTTGAAAATAGTTAAATGAAATATCTTTATATCATTAAAAATGTTCCCCGCAGGAAACCATTTTACTTGTGTTTTACAGTGTTTTATTTGA